ATAATAAAGGTAACACTATTTAGATCGTTTAGGGTGGGGGAGGGGGGGGGCGCTTAGATTTTGCTTATCTACCTCTCACAGAACGTCGGGATATAACTTCTTGTACCACAGAGAAATAAAATATATTCGAATCTGACAAAACAAACAAACAAACAAACCAAAAAGTAGAAGTAAAATAATTCATTTGGTCCTGTTATAATTAGTTAAATATTTTTTGTGTACCTACTCCTAAAGAAAACAGGTGGAACATGTTTGTTAGTGACATATGCCCTAACCCAGGGTGAGAAAGGTGATGATGATGGTGATACCAAACGACAGTCTTACTTCAGTGACGCCAATCTTGTTAGGGAAGTCCAGATCACAATTGACAGCAAATGGTTCAATCGTCCCTGCTGCATCGGGATCAATCACGTATCTTTTGCCTCCAATGGAGCCAGGTACGTTGTGTGCGGAGCCCTCAGAGATATGTTGGCAGCTTGCCTTGAGATCTGTGGGTGCAGGTTTTTTTTAGACACACAACAATCAGGTTTTTGTAGACACACAACAATCAGGTTTTTGATACACACAACAATCAGGTTGTTTTTCTTTAAAATCAAAAGGGAGTGAAATAGATGCAACTCCCAGGACAAAAAGGTGAATTTCGGTTGGGTTTTTTTCATTGTTCGTGTTTTGCACCCTAAAGTAAGTTATTAATTTCCTCCTTCCCAACTCAAACCAGTTATAGTTGTCAAGATTATTTATCCAACGAAAGATATACGTTCACTCTATACTAGTGTATTATAGAAACTTCGTTCAGCAACAAAAATGTTTTTTAAAAGTTATTGAAATGTATGCCATTCATAAGTCACATTGTACTCCACAAACATAGTAGGAAAGTGTTACAGCCATCTCTTTAGCGTCAGCTGCTATTTAACAAACCTGTGGAAGTCTGAAGCTGAAATGCAAGAACTCCGCACTTTTTTTCCTTCCTAAAATATTTCATTTTATTCCTATGGTCTATTGCTTTACCACGACTCCTCTCTTGAAATTTAAGATGAATTTCACTTTACTTATCTTCATATAAATATTAATTCTTCACTTCCCAACTCAATGCAGTGATAACTACTTTTCCAAACACCCAAGCTGCTTCATATGTTACATTACATTCGAACTTTCGAACCGCTTAGAGCTTCCAAACACACACATTTGCAATATCTCTCTCTCTCTCTCTCTCTCTCTCTCTCTCT